TCCGTGTTCGATTCGAGACAAGATGCTGTTCCGATACTATCGTTTCGGGCAGCTAATTTTTTATTCATTTGAATTGCGCATTTTTTATTTGAAGCATTTTTTTACCTAATATAACTAAATTTTATTATAAAAATAATTATAATTCTTCATGTAAATTTTTTGTTTTTTTTCATGCGAAAGAACTTTAATGATATAATTAATATTATTGCTTAGTGTATAATCTATCGTCTGGGCGTATTATTTTGGATTTTTTTTAAAAATTTTCACCGATCGAGGAATGATCTAGTTTATTTCAGAATTCAAGAATGGCCTAGTTCAATCCGGAATTGATCTAAATCGTGAAATTAGTCAGAACATTAATACGTAATGGGCTAATGGCGCTCATTTTGTGATATCTAATATATGACAATATTAATATCATTTTTATTGATATTTAATCTATTCCAAGTTATTTTGTATCTTTTAAATAAAATGTATCACATAATTTAGTCATGTTTAGATATCACAAAATGAGCACCCGTACAAAATGTTCTTTATACTCATGCACTTTATTAAATAGTAAATATTTGGAATTTAGATCATATTAAATAATACAGATAAAACAAAATTAAATAAAAATATTTATGAACTTGAATAGATCATTTTAAATATTAATATTTTTAATATTTTTTATACGCACGTATAAATAAAATTAAATTAAGTAATAAATTTTTATGAACTTGAATTTTATTTTAAATGTTTAATGTATGAATAAATACATTGATTAATGAATTTTTTTTATACATTAACTTTAATGAATTAATTGTAAATATTCATGAACTTGGAAGCAAATAAAAATGTTAAAAAGAAGTGAGGTAAATGTAAGTGTTGGGAAAATGAAATAACAAAAAACAAAATTAATAAAAATGCACAATAGAGCATACATATAAAAAAATCGCGTAATTAATAAAAAAAATGAACAAAAAGTATATAAAAAAAAATCGCATAATGTAATTTTAACAGCACGGGCTCATCGATTTACCATGGGTTAACTTAATAGTAGGTCAGAGACTTAGCGTCTCTTTAATGACATTTGCAACGAACTCGCCGCTATTGTCAGAATGTAATACTATGGAAGGATCGTGTGTTATGCAAAAATTGAATAAGCGAGCCGCTGCTTCTTCAATTGCCTTAGGTTGTAAGGGTTTCGAGTGCGAAACTTGGAAAGTAATCCATAATAGGAAATATATATATATACATTCTGTCAGATGTCGATGGTATTTAACCCACTCCAATATTTTTTTTTCCGACTGCCGAATATCATTACCGTTTAAGCCTATGATCAACCGTGAAACGTCTTATTTATTGG